AAAAAAAAAAAAAAAAGTTAAAAAAAAAAAGAACCTAAGAATCTTTATAAAAAGGAGACAAGTAATTTGCATAAGCAACTTTAGGAAATCGTGCTGCGCTAAGGCCACCATTTCTTTGAAATCCGAGGAGCCAACATGCCCAATTTATACACTGGATCGTTGCTGCTCTCATCTTTTTCCCTTCTGCAAAAGCAATAACCCATCCTCCCTTCCCTGCATCAGCCCCAAATCTCTTGGATTTGTCCTTCATTTTTGTTTGTTTGTTTTTGCTTTTGGGTTTTTTTTTTTTTTTTTGGTATCAGGGATCGAACTCGGGTTCCTGCACTTGCAAAGCAGGCCCTGGAACCACTGAGCTAAATCCCAGGCCCTGTCCTTCATTTTCTATGACCAATCAGTCACAAATCTTTTGCTTTCAAAATCTTGTTCCTGTCTCTCTATTTGCTGTCATAATAATCTTCTTAAAATTGCAGTGTTCCTAAAAGGCACTTCTAACTCTCCATGATCTTCCCAAACTGCTAGGGAATGTAGTATAAGCTTCTATTTGATTCCACTCCCTCTTCCTTGACCCTAGTACAGATGGTTCTTTGTTGGGATTCGTCCCCCCTTCAAAACTGCCCCTTCCCTTTCACTCTGAATCTCAAATATTACTGACGCTTTCTGTCCAGGGAGTGTCCCAGGCCACACTGTCACCTGTGAGGTCCATTATCTGTTGCTTGAAATAATAATCTTGTATTTTGTTTCTTCTCTTCTGCTTTAACTAATTTATTTCCTTATAACAGGCCAATGAAAGCTCCTGAAGGTCATATGGATCTTCCAAACGAATGAATGCATTCATCAATTGTATTATTTTCTGGAATGAAGCATATGTATCACATTTTTTTAAAGAAAGCTGTATTTAGTCTGGCCTATGAGTTAGAAAGGAGTTTATATGTTTAGAACATTGAAGATCAATTTAAAGCTTTTTCTTAGCTTTCTCCACAAAGCAGTGTCACAGAATGAGCCCCTTGTTCTTTTGCCTTCAACCAAATGCCAGATCATTGCAAGTAAACCATCCCTTCCGGGGGTAGCGTGTGTCCACGTACAGTGACTGTGGTGTCTGAAGCAAAAGCTGGAGTGTAGAGACTGACAATTCGTATTGTTCCTAATAGCAAGGCATGCCATGGGAAGGGGGTAGTTTTTGGAGATTGTAATTGCAATTTAAGAGATACTTATGTGATTTGGGAAACTGATATGGGATATTTAGAACTTTCCTGCAAAAGTTAGAGTGGTGGCTGCTGTGCTCTCAAAGTTAGAATTATAGAAGATACAAAAGAGTAAGGCATAAAATGTCTCTGCTGTTAAGGAATTTGGTATCATTGGGGAGACAGAAATCCCATAAGGGAAATAACTATAAGGAGGTAGATAAACCTCACTAAAAAAGTAAAATCCACCAAGTGTGGTGGTGCATGCCTATAATCCCAGCACTTGGGAGGCTGAGGCAGGAGGGTTACTGTGAGTTTGAGTCCTGCCTAAATTACATAGTGAGACCCTGTATTAAGAAAACTAAAATTTAACATGAATTTTCCCTTAAAGAATGTGCAAATGCACTGTACATAGTAATTGCATAGTCCATAGTATTTCAGACCCTCACCAACCTTTTGAAAGGCGACTGCCATTTCCATTTTCAAGATGAGAATTGAAGCTCAGAGGCAACGAGCGACATGCCCAAGGCCACAAGTCAGTACTGTGTGGAGAATCTGAGCCAGGATTCTGTCTGACTACGAAGCCTGTGCTCTCGTGTTGGTTTATCCTGTCTTCTCCTGTGCCACAGCAAATCTTCCAAAGTAATGGTAAAGTTACTATTGTTACAATTTAAAAAGTACGAAAACCCAAGCCTGATGGAAATGTGGGGTTACCTTCCTTTTAAAAACTATTACAATATTTTTACATCTAAAACAAGAAAACTGGTGTCGATGAAGGCATAATATTTCTAAACCAACCACCGTTTTAGTGGCTCTCATATAATTAAAATCATTCTTTTTCTCTTGAAGGCAATTGTATGGGACTAGCAAGATGAACAAAAATAAACTGATTCATGATTTCCTGGAAGTTGTTTCAAGCGGTGATGTAGAACTCATCTGTGACCATATTACTAAAGTCTATTCCACCCTTGGAAACCTTGACTTTCAGCACCCAAAGACTGGGAATACACCTCTCATTACTGCAGCAGAAGAAAACCTAACAGAGGTACAGGGGGAAGGATAAAGATTGTGGTACTATGCCAATAAGCCAGGGATATTTACATTTGGTTTCCAGATTTACATTTGGAGGTTTCTTGTTGCTCATCCAAATGAACTTTCCATGTTTTCAGTCTATCCAAAGCCTTGTATCAAGTGACAAGGTCATTATTACTAACACTCTTTCAGTGGTAAGGACTGTTGAACTTGGTGGCCACAGCCACATTACCTTCGGGCTGGAACTGTGGGATTTGCAATCTTTGTTTAAGAAGGGCCTGATTTGGCTTCTTTCTTTTTGAAAAGGAACCTCCTTTAGTTCAGGTCATTTGCTACCCTGTTATCATGACATCTTTCAAAATTTAACCTGATTTTAATATATAAGGTCTTGGAAAGTTTTATAGGACAGTGGGGCCAATTACAAGAATTTATCTAGATTTATTTGATTCAAATTTTCATTCTTCAGAGGGTCACCTTCCTGAATATTGCAAACCTCATTTAAGATAAGAAAAGCTTTAACACTGGTCAATCTGTGAGTCTCATGAGAATTAGTCTGTCTCTGGGAAATTGAACCCAAAAGGTCCAAAGTTCCCTCAGGACAGCCAAAATCTACCACAAAAACCCTGCCACCTACCATCACCACTGAATGAATCTAGGTTTGTCATCAGGAAGGGCTGAGCTGTAAGATAGTTCTTTCCACTTTTCCTTTAACTTGCCTGAAAGGGACAGAATCTTTGGTCCACCCAGGGTGGATCTTGATATTATTTGTGACCATGGCATGGATCTGAGGCAAACTGCTGGATTGGTGAGGGACATAGCACCTACAGAAAAGTTAGTGAAAAATAGGATGCTAAATAGCTATCTTTGAAATTATTTTCTGGCACTCAACTTGCATCTATCTCCCACTTTCTCCTCGTCAACAGTCAATAAAGTAGAGAATCCTTTCTGGCCCAACTGACCTACTCTTTGGTCAATGTATTTGTTGCTGTTTTCCCATGAACTTTCTTTATATCCCATTCATTAGGCCATGAAACCTGTGTTTTTGTTCTTGTCTTTCTTATTGTATCATCTTTTTTTTTTTTTTTGTAAAAACTATCAACAGTGAAACATCTGAGACTTTTCCTTATTTGAAAGCTAACAAGTGAGACTGACACAGGTTCACAGAGAGATTCCTGAGCCAAAGGAAAATAATAGTTTACTTCCTCTATTTCTAGTAAGAGGAAGAGCATCAGAATTTCCTGAAGTTTTCAATGCCCCAGTTTGCCTAGGGCAATAGGAAGAGGGCCAGGGGACAGAGTAGGTATATTACAAGAGATGAACCAAGAGCCCGGGGAACCCTAACCTTTTCAACGGACAGTAGCTATGTCTTTCCAGTGCTCCAGAGGGAGACACTATTTCTGTATTCTAAGGCTGTTCACTACACAGTATCTTTGAAAACATTGTGTAGTGTTAAAATAGTTGGTGCTTCTTTTTGCTAACAGGCCTGCAGTGACCCATGGAAGATGTCTTCCAATAGCCTCTCTAAAGAATGATTTACTGATTTATTCTAATTGTGTCTGCTTCCTCACCTCTCAGAACTACTAGAGTCTAGCTTCTCTACCACTTTATTGAAGTTGCTTTTGCCAATATCATCTACAATATCCTTGGTCACTTTCAGGTCTCAGTAGCACTTGATACCAGTTTTCCTTGAAATGTTTTCTTCCATTTTCTCTCGTCTGATTTTCCTCACTACTTCTGTGGCAGCTTCTACCCTGTCTCCCTTATGGATTCTTCTCTTAAATACTTGCGTCCCTTGATAATGAAGAGATGACTCATAATTCAGTAATTCAAGACCACATCTCTCACCTGAATTCCTGTTTATATAGTATCTTGAGCATCCAACTGAATTTCTCAACTTTGTTAGCACGGAGACCTCAAGTAGAGCCTGTCCCAAATTGTCTTTATCTTTCTTTCCAAACCTAATCCTTTTAAGAAACAATTGCATCAGTGTTACCTATCTTATTAAATAGCTTCACCATCTATTTATTTTAATCAATTTATTCACTCACTAAAATTCTTATTTGTGTGATAAGATATTTTGCCTATATATTTGCATTTTAATGAAAATAAAGCTCAACAAGTAAAGAAACCAGAGGCATATAAGTAGATTACAAGTTTTTGTTAATGGTTGAATTAACCGATAGAACAACTCTTTTTTTTTCAGCTTTAATTGAGTTTATTGGTACATTTTAGGGAAACACTGCAGTTACATTCATTGTTGGGATCTTGTGCCTCTACATGACAAGTCTTGGTTCTCATTTTTCCCCTTGTCCCTGCCCTCCCTTTACCCCCTCCTCCCCTCCCCATCTACAACCACTTTATTTCCATCTTTTCATTATCTCACATTTTTTCTTTTCCCTTTTTACCCTTCCCCTGCCCATCACACCTTCCCTACACCTTTAGCTCCTTTCTTCCCATTTCTCAATATCAGTAATCTTATTAGGATCTTCTGTATTATTGCAGATTATTCACACCAGAGAAGCTATTTGGTATTTACACATGTGTGCCTTATTTATTTCACTTAGGAGTATATCTTCAATATGTAACCATTTTCCTATGAATGAATCTACTTTCTCATTCTTTATGGCTGAGTAGTATTCCATTTAATACAAAAACCACATCTTCTTTATCCAGTTTCCAACTGATGGGCAAATAGGCTGTTTCCAAGTTTTAGCTATTACAAACTGTGCCGCTATAAACATGGGTGTGCATACTTCTCTGTGATATGATTCTTTCAATTCTTTTGGAAAGATACCCAGCAGAGGGATGGCTGGGTCAAATGGAACCTCCAGTCCAAGCTCTTTGAGGTATCTCCATACTGATTTCCATAGTGGTTGCACCAGTCTGCACTCCCACCAACAATGGAGAAGGGTTCCTTTCTCCCCACAATCCCGCCGACATTT